TCCTGAATGGTTAAGTTTTAGATGAGGAACCAATAGTGTAACTGTGGTCAGGAGTTTAGGACTCAGATTGTGTTCTTTTTGCTTGTTTGTGTTTTTTAATAATTCTTTATTGTTGAAAGAATTACATATGTCCCCCTTCTTCCCCCATTGGTCCCCTCCAGCCCACCCCTGTCTCCCCTCACCCCCACCCCTGCTCCCAGCCCCAGGCCTTCAGCACCCTATTGTCTGTGTCCATAAATGCATTCAAGGTCTTTGGTTGATCACTTCCCACCCTCCCAGCCTCCCCCACCTTCCCTCTGAGATTCCGCACTCAAATTGTGTTCTAATGTATAGAGATCAGAACATAAAAATCATAAATGCAATAGATGATGATAACAGTAATAACTATATTTTGAAGATTTACTTCGAAAGGCTTATCTTTTTTAAATCATATAGAACGTTTTAAATGTGATAATTACGAAAAAGGCACTTTTTTAAGTTTCTATTATCTGTGTGATCCTTTAAAATACTTCTTTGGCACATTTCTCAGTAATGTTTTAATTTACTCATCCATCCATCCATTTGTAAGCTACCGCCTTGTGAAAGGAGGCGAAAATGGGGTAGAGACCCTGAGCAGAGCACAGTCCTGCTTCAATCCTTGTTCACTTATCTGTCAGTTTAGGAAGTGATTTTAACCCGTGTGCTGCAAGAATTTTAAAACATGCAATACCTGACTATGTAGTCCGGGGCACTGACCTCTTTTCCCTTAGGTTGTCAAATAATGAAAAGTGACAATAGCCAACACAATAGCCATGCAGTGGGAATGATTCAAAATTGTATCTATTTTCTTGTCAGATTGGCAAAAAAATTAATATATTTTTTGTGCTGCAGCATGTTAGTAATTAGTTTATGTGTGCCATGAGATGCAAAAGGTTGAACACCGCTGGTGTGGGAGGAAATATGGATTTGCTTATTTATAGGAGCAGTGCACTGTGGGCCAACGCAGTGTCACACATTCAAACAATGCCTGACTTCAGGGTCCCTGTTTCGTCTGTTTCAGGCCGTTTCGGATTCCACAGCTTCTTTTGCCAGAAGCCCTGGTGCTCAGGATGGGAATTCTCTGCTGTGATAGCGGGGGGTGGGCGGGCGGCTGCACTCTGGCTCCCTGTGGCACACTGGCTAAAACTCCCCAGCAGGACAGGGTGCCCCTCTGTACATATTTGGAAGCCTGCTGGGACTCGGCCTCCTCGGTTACCATGGTGATATTCCATTACAGGAGCTGATGGATTCCAGAGAGACTGGGGCCAGCCGCCTGAGCAGAGTGGAGTCCCTGGCTCCCGCCGTGAAGCAGCACACAGCGGCCAGCGGGAGCGAGCTCCTGGACGCAGAGATGCAGGCCCTGCGCGCCGACTGGAAGCAGTGGGAAGACAGCGTGCTCCAGACGCAGGGCAGCCTGGAGAGCCTGGTCAGCCAGATGGCCCTTTCGGAGCAGGCGTTCTCAGGCCAAGTGGCCGCACTGGAGCAGGCCCTGGAGCAGCTCAGCACCCTTCTCACAACGTGGGCTCAGCAGCTAGCCCTCCTGGAAGGCAAGAACACAGATCAGGAGATAGTGGAGAGCTGGGAGAAGGGCCGCGTAAGTTGGCTTCCTGTTTTCTGTTGGTGGTTATGCTAGAAATTTGGTTTGGTTCTCATCGTCGCTAAACAAACAAAACAACTGAAAACCTTCTTGCTAACTAAAAACACAACATTCAGACTTGGGAGAAGTAAGTGTTTCTAATTAAATTTGCAAATCAGATCTGTTTTCTTTTCTCATAAGTCAAACTATTCTACATACAAGGGTAGAGGAGAGAAGAAGTTATTATTTACCATTGAAAACAGTTATTGTTAGTGGAAACATTCTACTTTCATTCTTCTGGTGCAAGAGTTTGTAATATCGCATTCAGCCATTCAGTCTGAAAAAAATGGCCTGTGGGTAGAGGCATAAATAGACGAAGAGTCATAGCTGCGTTCCTGCCAGTGAATTCTTTCCAACAATTAAATGATTGAATTTGTAGCTTTGAAAGACACATTTGGTAAGCCCCCGAAAACACAACTAATAGTTTGCACCCTGATCAGCTCTCCTGTGTGGAGTTTGACAGCTGTGCTGGAATTAACGGTTCACAGAACTCCTATGTCATGCTCATGGGTTGCCTTCCGGACTTTTTTTTTTTTTTAACTAATGGCAGCTCTTTCAGAATGAGAGAAAGGGAAGCATAAAGGGGGTAGTGAAGAAAGGGCAGAAGCTTGAGATCCCGTTTCTGTCTTTACTGTTCAATGGCATCTTGGAAAGACTTTCTTTCGATATTTGCAGTTTAATAATGCTCTGAATCGCGGATGTCCTTAAAAGGAAGTTTTAGTAAAGTAACCTTCTCTGTGGCTATTTATGTTATAAACATTTCAAAATAGCTCCAGCCAGTAGGGAACTCCCGTAGTATTTCCAACATTGTCTTGTTTTAAGTCAAGTATTTGAAACAAAGATAGCGTGCCGCAAAGGGAACCTTTCTAATTATCTCTTTATGCTATTTTACTTATATGCTTATAGACTATATTTTGTTTCGATGCCCTTCGTGTCCTTTAGGGTTAAGCACAGAATAAAGTGTAGAAAGCAGTTCTGTAAAACAGGGACAAGGACCTTGGTGATTATTGCATGTGGTCAGTACTGTTGACTCTGATATAAAAACATCTGTTAGGATGTTTTCATTCTGTTTCCCTTCTTTTTCCCCCATTAATATAAGTGAAATTTTAAAAAAGAAAGATTTGATGGTATTTAAATTATCTGACTATTCTGAGCTATCATTATTTCTTTATATTGATTCTACTAGTAAAAATAATAGGTGAGGCCTGTGAAAAGGTAATGCAAAAGTAAATATAGGTTTTTAATGGTGCAAGCAATTCAAAGACAACAGTCTGAGCTTTGATCTGTTTTTATATTTGGTTCTGGGGCGCTTGCTTTTGATGACAATACTACATGACCTCTAAATACTCAGATTTTCTCTTATTCTAATAATATCATTTTATCTAAAAATGGCTATAATAAAAAAATATAATTATGTGATGGGATAAAGGTGTTAGCTAATGTTGTGGTGGTTATCATTTTATTATATATAAATGTATTAAATCCCTACATTGTACACCTTAAACTCACACAATATTATATGTCAATCACATCTCAGTAAAGCTGGGAACAATAATTTTTAAAAAATGGAGGTAATACTCCCATTACAATGAAAGCCTAGGAAAGTTTTACAAAATAATGGATTTGCTAGGGTTCACATGGCTTTGTTTTGCTGTGAGGAAGGGCCTGTCATTGTTAGCAATCCTAATAATAATCATGAGCCGTCACAGGCCTTTGCTTTCTCTTCTGCAATGAAATGGTGACACTCAAGAAATCTTTTTAAAAATAAAAATGGATCATTATCTATAAACTATATAAAATCATGGCACACAAAAATCTTGTTCACTGTGTTCCAAAACTCATATCTCTTAATATCCATGGGCTAATTGTGTTGGAAATTTAGGAGTTTTCTTAACCTCCAAGGAAAAAATATTCATTCCAGGACTTAACTGAAACACAGGTGTATAACCTGATATTTATATAATGAAATATTCTAATATGCTTTAATGTATGATCACATTACAGAAAAAAGTTTAGTGTAAATTTTTGGTCAAAGCTTTTCACTTTTGACAACACCTAACGTGTAAGTGACTCATGATATCTCTGGGTTTTGTTATTTACCTCTCTGGTGCATGGTCAGTTTCTTTGGTTCTTATAATGCTCTTTCTTAAATAAAAGATTCAATTTGATGTAAAATAGTAGTTACTAGTTTAGCATTTGGATTTTCAGAGAGAAAGTTTCTAAGTATTACTTATGAATTTTGCAAATAAGAATATTTTAGATGCCTCTAGCCCAGTGATGGCGAACCTATGACACGCGTGTCAGAGGTGACACGTGAACTCATTTTTTTGGTTGATTTTTCTTTGTTAAATGGCATTTAAATATATAAAATAAATATCAAAAATATAAGTCTTTGTTTTACTATGGTTGCAAATATCAAAAAATTTCTATATGTGACACGGCACCAGAGTTAAGTTAGGGTTTTTCAAAATGCTGACACGCCGAGCTCAAAAGGTTCGCCATCACTGGTCTAGCCCGACACTAAGCTAAATAAAGAAGTTTAAAGTAAAGAGAACACCATCCCTCCTCTCAGAGCCACAGTCCAGGTGGAAAGGCCAACAAGTTCAAACCCATTAGAAACACTCGCTAGTGATGAGTGCCAGGAGGTGCTGTGTCCTCAGTGAGAGGCCCTGGGAGGTGGGAAGGAAGACAGAGAATCCTTAGGGGAAGAGTTATTTGAGTCTTAAGGTCTGGTTACAAATGGACCAGATAGGTGAGGTGGAGAAATGGCACCATTGTACAAAATCACTGAGGAACAAGAAAGCACAGGAGAGAAAACCAGAGAACAGAATTCAAATTAAGGGGATACTGTGTCATTCTAGAAAGAAATGACAAAGATGTGAATGGGGGCTGTGAGAGTCAGGATGCAAAGGTAGCTGATGAAAAGAGCTCTCTCTCTAGGACATGGAACAGACCAGCCCTCGTTAGCTGTTGGGTGGAGTGGAGAGGGAACCAGGCAAGGCCATGGTGATGCTCAGTTTTCTGATTTAGATCAGTTGGAAGACAGAGGTTCCATTTATAGGATGAGGAGTGCAACACACACCTGGCGTGTTGAGAGGTGTGGTTTTCTACAATTCTAGGCCATCTCACGATAAAAATCTCTGGGAATAAAAATAGTAACATCAACAGCTCTCTGAGCAGTTACTCATCTTCGTGTCCCTCATCTTTGTTATTATTATTCACCTTGGTGATACCATTATCCACACACTCCTATTTAAATATTTGGGAGTCATTTACCTGCTAATTTTACTTATAAGGCACTTATCAAGGTGCCAGAATTTGTGTATTTGACACTCAGAATGTCATTTGCTCAGTGTGACAATCCCCTGTGTAGCCATGGACCATGGCCTTGATTTCAGAAGTGTGCTTGTCAAGTCCCAAGACTTTATTTTGGATAGAGACAGTCACAGAACTCATTCTTCACGTGCCTCTCCCACCCGTTCGATTGTGAGCTCTTCAAATACGGTACAAGAATCATACCTTTGGTCATGTCGGGGGTCCCAGAATTCAGCAAAATGATCGGCACACGGCAGACATTTAGTAAATATTTGATGGTTATAATGAATGAAACTATGAAATGATTCAATTGCTACTTAAATCAGACCTGTGGACTATGAGAATTTCTTAATGTGAAAGTTAATGTTATGTGTTAGACAACATTAACTGTTGTGCACAAGTACCAAAATAAGTGTTGCTTTGCTTTGAAAGGATTTCTTTTTACATTTTAAACAATATGAATATCCGCTGACATCTAATCAGATTGTTTTTAAGCAATTTAGACTGGTTCGCTTTTCTTTTTCCATCCTACTTTATGTTATTCTTTGATCACTTGATCATTTGACTTCTTGGCAGCATTTCATCCCAGAATGCCTACCTATGGCTAGAAAAGGACACACAACCAGCCACGTGAAGTTACTTGCCATGGGGGAATCCTGAAACTAGGCCTCATTTCTTTACTGATTCTGTATGTTGCTTCTTCCCTCGCTAATAATTTATAATGTGATTGATGCATTTACAGTATGAAGATGTGGAAATTACCTAATTTAAATGCTTACCCCTCTGTCTTGTTATTTCTAATAGGAGATACTGGATGCTCTACAAAAAGCAGAGCCTAAGACAGAGGATCTCAAGTCTCAGCTGAATGAACTTTGTCGATTTTCCAAAGACCTGAGTCCATACAGTGGAAAAGTTTCTGCCTTGATTAAAGAATATAATTGGTAAGCATGAACCTTATTGGTATTTAAAATGTTTTAATACAAATAAGAAGCTAGAAGTTTATGTATGTAAGGTCTGATTTCAACATTAATATAAATTAATCATTAAATCCGTTACTAAATGACATGAGCGCATACTCCAAAAATTGTTTATTCTGTCAAACATTAATCTCCTTTATCATTTTTCCCTCCTATTAAATG